AAAAACTCGCTTGGAGGTGCATTTCTGTAACAAATATGTATTTCTGTATTAATTTTTGTGAAATTTTTGACTCATTTACAAGTGTATTATGTGTGAATTGGGGTACATCTAGAAGTACATTTCCATATTCTAGGAGTTGTTTTGATTTTTCACTAGAGTGTGGAAGCAACCTTAGGGTGGTAAAAGCAACCCTTAAAATTAAAATTAATGGGCTTTTAGAACCTAAATCTTTAGAATTCAACTCCAATTTCTTCTTTAACCTAGAGAAAGTTGCAAAGTTTGTAACCGTGCAACTAAAAAGAGACATGTTAATAAAAAATACAGGAAAAATCATTACTATTATTATGACCATAACAACATTTAAATGGAGGAAACGTTAAAATGGGGGAAGTTGGTTAATAACTTTGTAGAAAATTGGGAAAGAAGACATGAGTAACTGGAGAAAATATATTTGTCACTAGAAATAAAATCACAAAATTGTTTTTAATAGAAACAAAAGCTACGATTTGTGGCTTTGAAGAAACATGAGTTTGGAATTAGACACATGTTCAGCTGAATCATGTTTCGAATTATCCAAATATAAAAAAAAATGAAGAAATCTCGTTTAATTTCATAAACTCGCATTTGTGACCACGGAACGTGGAACCAAACACATACGCTTAATGTGATAAACAATTCTCTTAATTACGAGAGAACATGAGAGAAAACGAGAGTGAGAGTGACAGATGAACCTTAGTGAGCTCAAGAAGAAGGGGAAGAAATAGGCTTGGTAAAGACAAGACAAACAAGAATAAAACAACCATAAGGAACCATGAGGGAATAATAACATGTTATGTCAATAACTTCCTAGAAGACATCAACGAAAAAGTAGTAAAGCACATGTTCAAAAGGTAGGGAAAGGAGATTGACGTATATATCGCAAAAAAAAAATAAGATAGAAAGGATATTTGTTTTCGTCAGGTATGAAGAAATTAAATATGGAATATGGATGGAAGAACAACTCACACTACTACAAAACACGCAAACAACAACGCCCAATTCACCACGATTCTTCCAAACACCGTGGTCACATCTATAAACCCAGGCGCTAACTTTGTTTTTTTAAATATTTTTTAATTAAAAATTATTAGATTATAATAACGGTTGTTGTAATAACCGTGTTTATAATATCAAGCTTTCTTGGGTTCGAACCTCAGCTTCGTCAAATAGTTTATTCTTTTAACATTAAGGCGCGCTTTTTTATTTTTTATTATTTTTTAAATAAAAAATAAAAGGGATGTCACTACAGTGATTAATTCAAACATTGTTAAATTGTTTAAATTTCCACTACAATTCACTTGTTTAACCGTGATCAAAAGGTTTTACTGGTAAATTAAAACAACTTAATTCTTCTTTCTTTCATAAGATGCCCTAAGCAAACAAGCGAGCCAGAGACGACAACGATACTCTTCATCTTTAATCGGAAATCTTTAACATATTCATTCTTTTTCATTTCAATCACAAATCTTCAACATCTTCATTCGTGTTCTCGTCCTCATCTTCGGAGTATGGTGCTCTTCATCTTTTCTCGTTAAGTTTTGTTAGTTGTGTTGTTGGATATATAAGTGAAAAAAAGTATTATACCTTTCTTAGTTGTTATGTTTGTTCCCTTTCTTAGTTGTTCATATATATTGTTCTTGGTAGATATATATGTTGTTTGTTAGTTGTTCATGTATATTGTTCTTGGAAAATATATATATGTTATTTGTTAGTTGTTTTGTTGGATATAGAAGTTAACAAAAATATTATATTCATATGCTTAAGGTTTAGAGTTATAGTCTTTGGTTTAGATTTTGGTGTGTCATTCACATTATTATTCGTGTATAAATTTCAGAAGTTGTTATGGGCTATAGTTGGATGAAAGCCAATAAATTAGGTTTGGTTTATGAGAATGGAGTTCATGAATTCCTTGAATACACTGATAAAAATCTTTCCGATAATAATGATATCTTTTATTATCCTTGTGTTAAATATGGGAATATCCGTAAAGGTACAAAGGAATAAATATTCCACCACCTATGTGTTGTTGGTATATGCCAATCATATACAATATGGACGTGGCATGGTGAGGTGGATATTGAGGGAAGTCGAGTATCATAAAGTCAAAGAGTGGATGAAGATGGATATATGGATGATCGACTATAGAATATGTTCTGTGATGTTGGAGAATCATCTTTAAGAATGCTCATATTTATGATAATTTATATAGTGATAAAGACACACCTTTATATAAGGGATGCACGAGTTTTACTCGATTGTCTGTGGTGTTAAAGTTGTTTGATCTGAAGGCAAAAATGGACGGTCGGATAAAAGTTTCATGAAATTACTTGATTTTCTAAAGAAAAAATGTTACTAGAAGATAACAATTTGTTGGATCATTGTAATGAGGCCAAAAATATATTGTGTTCAATGGGTTTGGAGTATATCAAAATACATGCATGCCCTAATGATTGCATGTTATAAAGGAAAGAGTGTGAAGACTTGAAGCAATATCCAAAATATGGTGTGTCGGGTTACAAGATGAATGCCAACAATGGTGATGACAATGACTATGACAGTGCTAGTAGGAAGCATCCTTCTGCTAAAGTGTTATGCTACTTGCCAATAATTTCACGATTTAAGAGACTTTTTGCTAATTCAAATGACACAAAGAATATGAGATAGCATACAAATGAAAGAAGACATGATGGAAACATTGCCATGTAGTTGATTCTTTACAATGAAAGAAAATTGATTCACTGTTTCCGAATTTTAGAATTGAGCCAAGAAACCTTAGGCTTGGGCTCGCCACTGATGGAATGATCCCCTTTGGTAATCTTAGCACTAATCATTCTTGGTGGCCTGTTCTTCTTACTATTTATAACCTATCTCCTTTATTGTGCATGAAGCGCAAATATACTTTGTTAATTATGATAATTTATGGACCACGATAACCTGATAACGACATAGATGTTTATATTGCTCCATTAATTAAAGATTTATGACTTTTATGGGATAAAGGCGTTGAAGTTGATGATGCATATTCTGGTGAAAAGTTTAAGATACGTACAATGTTATTTTGCACAATCAATGACTTTCTTGCTTATGGTAACTTGGATGGCTATAGGGTCAGAGGACATAAAGCGTGTCCTATATGTGAATCTGATACATGTTATCACCAACTTGAGTTTAGAAAAAAGACCGTTTACCTTGGGCATCAAAAATTTCTAAAACCCGATCATCCCTATCATAGATTATGAAAGGCTTTTTAATAGAGAGCAAAAGTTTGCTATGGCTCCTAAACATTTAATCGGGAATGAAGTTTATCAACGACAGGAACACATTAATGTTGTCTTCGGAAAGAGAGAAAAAGAAAAAGGGCCAGTTGAGAATAATACATGGAAAAAGAGGTATGTGTTCTTTGATCTTCCATATTGGTCAAGTCTTGATGTTAGACATTGTCTTGATGTGATACACGTTGATAAAAATGTGTGTGGTAGTTTGATTGGAATGCTTCTAAATATTTCAGGCAAGACTAAAGATAGTAAGACTTCCCATTTTGATATGGAGGCAATGGGTATATGAAAACAGTTGGCTCCGATAGATAGAGGACATATAACTTATTTGCCTCCAGCATGTCACACTCTATCTAAAAAGGAAAAGAAAATTTTATGTGAGTTATTACATGGTATCAAAGTTCCCCAAAGTTACTCATCAAACATCAATAAACTTGTATCAATGAAGGATATCAAGTTAATCGGTTTGTAACAACTTCTACCAGTGAGAGTAACTATAACCAGATAGTAATTATTCTTCAATACCATATGTAATAAAGTTATTGATTTCAAAAAATTAGATGAATTAGAAGATTAGGCTGGCATAATCTTATGTCAATTGAAAATGTACTTTCTCGCATCTCAACAACCAAGTCCTCACACCCCAACCCCTAACACAAACCACTACTACCATCAACAATATCAACAATAACCCACACTCCGACCACCCTTACAATACACTCCAATTCCTTAACCAAACTTTAACTATTCAAACTTCCAATCTCAACAACAAACCTTCAAGCCATCATCCTCCCAACATTACTTTAACTATTCATACCCCCAATCTCAAAAACAAACTTATAACCTGTCACCATCTCAACCCAATGTTTATTATCCCCTCATTGAACAATGTTTGCCAAATAGTTATGTACTGCCGACAAACACCAACTATGAAATCACAGAAGAAGAGCTTTTGTCCTTCTCACCTTTCAATATTGACGAAGTGAAAATTGATGTGGGCCACAATCCGTCACATTTAGATGAAAATTTGTCTTCCGACGATATTCCATCTCCACCACGACATCCAATCGAGGTAACTACAAGACAAGAAACCAAAAGGGGCAAGGAGGAGCGCATTAAAAAGAAGAAGGTTTGTTATACTGAAATGTTTAGACGACATAAATATTAATTATTTTTTATTTTCTATTATTATTTTATTGTAATAATAAAATATTAGTATTAAAATTATAAAAAATATTAATATTCAAATTATAATAATAAATATTAATATCATAATAATAATAATAATAATAAAAAATATTGTTTATAATATTATTTTTTTATTATATTTATTAAAAATAATATTATAACATAAAATATTTATAAAAAAAAACAACAAAAAAACGTCTAACATCCATTCGGCCATTGGATGACCAAATCCTTGAAGAAAAAAGAAAACGTTACACTCGTTCGCCTAAAGGATGGCCGAACACATTCTAAAAATAATTATATTCAACTTGTGGCATTTTAATAATTTTTTTCCAAATAGTGGCATTGTTGTAAAAAAATCGAATTATTATTGTAATTAAATAAATCTTAAAATAAAAGTGAAACCCTAAAATTGGGTAGTGCTTTATATAGTCTGTGGGTTATTGTCCTTGTCCGATGCCTTCAGCGGCTTAGCTGAAGGTAAAATGAAAGGGGGCGATGATTACAATGAGAGAGGACTCTAGTAGGGAACACCCAATTCCATCCGAAAAATCTCAACACAACACAATTCCCAATTCCCATCTATATCCAAACAAGAAAATGAAAAGAAAATATATAGGTCAGAACTTGAAGGTGCCGCCGCACCCTATGGGTTTGGTTTTGGTATCTCAGATTCTGCCGCTCCTTCTTTCTCCTCTTCGTCTCTCCGTCCCTTCACTTTGAATTCGGTGTTTTCCCTACGATGACAGATCTTTTCAAATTTACACTTGATATGAGCCCCTCATTCCTTACATTTTCCTCGATTCGTATAATTTTTTTTCCATACTTGTAGTTTTTTTCTGCACTTATTTTATTTTGAATTTGCATGTTAATTTCTTGTTGAAGATCTAGTGTGTACACAAAAAAATCGTTTCTCAAAGTGACAGATCTATCTAAATTTACGCTTGATATGAGCTCTGAAGCTTTTCATTTTCTTACCGAATATTGTTTTTTATGAAATTTGTTTATTCTTTTGGATCTGTAGTTTTTCTTTGCACTGATTTGATTTTGGATGAGAAACATATGCATGTTGTTTTCTTGTTGATGAATCAGTGCGTACATTATAAGCTTGATTATAACTGCAGCTTGTTTCTGATTAACTTATTTTCAGAAATTTGGTGGATTTGTTAGGTTGAGCAGCGGCCAGACAACCGTAGAGATGGAATCCACGGATGTTGAGTTTCTTTGTCTCACCATTCTACTAATTCCATCTCACATTTTCTTATGTTTAACTTTTATTTTAATTTATTTGTTCATTTTGATTTGTTGTTTAAGCCTCAATTAGTTGCTTTTAGAGATATGAGTATTGAGAATTGATCAAGTTAAAATATGTTTTTGGATAGTTCATACAGGTTGCTGAGCATTTTTGGTGTAACTAACTAAACATTGGTATGTGTTATACAAAATATTGGTGTTATGAACCATTATTTAGATACAATGTCCACTATAACTAAAAGAAGTTTCAAAGTGTGTTATGGGCTTGGGGCCAAACCAAGCCATTATCTTTGGATTTTATAGCTTCCTTGTTCGAGAATAAATTCAAACTAAATTGTACAAGCCTGGTCATGTTTCGGTTTAAAATCTGTACCCCTTTATGTAGCCTATTTGCAATGTGTACATGTTAAATTAGTTACTTAGAAACTGATTTTATTAATTTGTTTACAATTTTAATGCATACATATCTGTTAATTTACACCTTGATCAACAACCGTATCTTTTAGACCAAATACAAATAGGTAAATTCACATTTTCAGTGAGTTACTAGTTTCCTGAAGAGACAAGGGTAGTCGCATTTTGGAAAGACATTTCTACTTGAAGTTTGAGATAGTTGCTTTGACTTCCATATGAAAATAAAATACTATAACCAGCATACTGAAGGGTATGTGGAGGAGTTAGGTCAAATCTGATGGGTAGGAGGACAAATTTTTTTAAGTGTGTTTGAATTGACGGTGAATATAATTGATTTTGACAGAATTGAGTTTTATAAAATTGATTTTAATAGAATTGAATTTGACAGAATTGATTTATGTTTTGATATATTTATGTAAAAGTGATTGTCACTCCCTTTGTACCTATAACAAGTGACTAATTTAGAATAAAATAATGTTTTAAAATGAATGATCTATTTTAATTTTTAATACACTTTTTACAATATTATTTTTTAATTAATTAAATTTCATCATTTCTAATACATGATTAAGAGTAATATAGTATGTGTGAAATGATGGACTGACTCATTTATTATAGAACATGGAGTATGGATTAATATTGTTTGAATAGTTTTTATCAAAATTGATTTTAAATGTATAATTATTAAAATGGACATTGTTTAAACACATATAAATAAAAATTATCTAAATAAATAGGAAGTATGTCCAAAAAAAAAATTACAAATAGATAATAAAATTCAAAATGTAATATAGTATTAAAATATTATTACAATAATAATTTAATAGGTTATGCTTAGGCTATTAAAAAAGTTTATGAAGTTTTATCGGTCCTATATTTTATATATATTACAAATAGTCTAAATATGATATATATATATATATTAAAATTTTTTTTAAATAAGTCGGTCTATATATGCATATATTGGTCGGCCTATAAGTCTTCTTAAATAATATGGATTTATTAAAAACTTTAATAAGAAACAGACTTTTAAAATAGGCTTTTAACAAGCCTGACTTTTAAAAAGGCTAGATCAGGTCAAAAAAAATGAGTGTATAGTAGACAGACTAGACTTTTAAAAAGGCTAGATCAGGTCAAAAAAATGAGTGTATAGTAGGCCATAGGTCAGACTCAAACCTTATAAATTTATCGTAGGTTAGACTCAGGCTTTATAAAGCTTAACCTAGCCTAAACTATTTCCACTCCTGATGGTGAATGATTATATTTTCGTCTTCATAAAGATTAAAATCAATATCAAATTTTTGCATTCCTTCTAACAAAGTTGTGTATAATCATTGTTGCGACGATTATGTGTTTAAAATTTGAACTTATGCATACAACACAATAATTGCAAATCTATTCTTCGATACTTCAAAAAAATTTCTATTGCGCACCTTAAATTTGAGTGGTATTAATTAATATTTCATTTTTATTTGTGAATCTGTTAGAATGTCTAAAATCAGAAAGGTGATAACGTTCACATCTATAGGAACTAATGTATTCTATCAATGTTTTGATTGCCAAAATCCTATAAAAATAAATAAATAATTTAAAAGTAAAATTAAATATTATTACTATAACAAATCACTAGTGTGTATATGCGTGACACGGGATGAATTTTCTTATGTTGAAAAAATGCTTTTGTTTGTCAATAAGAAAACATAATTGTATAATGAGAAATTATCTTTCAAAACTATTGAATGAGTCATATAATACACATCAACGGTACCTATTTTCCACTTCATCTTTCCTATTTTTCAAATTTTATTCATGTGCATCATATTTTCACATTGCTATCAAGTCATTAAAAGGATACATTTAAGTTGAGAAAAATATTTGGCTTTAAATTGAATCTTCGCTAATGATACAATATTCTTTGAACTATCAAAATGGATTCAATCCCTTTTGGAAGAGCGTTGAGTATATCCCTGAAAACTCTTCCAGCATAAACAACCATACCTGAAGGATCAACTTCATTTGCAATTTTTATGGCATCTGAAGTGGTAATATCTTGATTGGCGAGGGAGATATCTAAGATAATGCAGTTTGGCTTCACAATGACAGAACACAATTAGACACTGAATTTGGTATAAAAAATGTACTAACAAAACGAAAGTTCAGTATGATTAAAATGACACATAAATTACTAAAAAGTTTTGCTACAACGAACTATTATGCCGAGCCTTCAATCTTTAGTGGTGAAGGCTGGTATAACTCATATTCGTTTGATTTTCACCTAAAAGTATTTTTTTCTCTAGGTCTATTGATCCTTCTTTACAACAACAATGAAGTACGGATAAATCAATGTCTTATAAATCTTGCAATATAATAGATTATATCCAAAGTTAAGTTCTGGTATGGTTTATAGATTCTAGCATTAAAAGATATAAGATGGTCGGCCGGGAAGACAAATACATATCAGACAGACAGTGAACTTATGACTGATTATGAGCAAATTGTGATGACAACTAATCCATATAGAAGTTTCTTCTTATAAAGATAGATAAAAGAAAAATATGAAAGGAAAATATTTTCGTGGAGAATGGATCCTAACTTTCTCAATTAGCTAAGAAGAAAAAAAAGAA